GCTGCAACTGCACTTCATAATATTCTTTTAAAAAACACAACTATAATATACTAGTATTTGCAATACACAATCACTTCTTGTATACCTGCCAATGCAATTTTTTTTGCAAATAGCAATTAAAATACCTGGCATGAAGTCTATCAATATGAATGTGATTTCTGTCATATGTAAGTAAGAAATCACAAATACAGCTGCATGCTATATAGTCAAAAGTATTAATTCTGTTTTTCTTCTAGAAGGCATTATGCCTATTGTTGCATTTTCTTTTCTTTTCTGTCTTTTTATTGTACAGCAATCAAGCTGTCATGCTTATTATTCTAATTGCCAGAATTAGAATCCCTTATTTAGAATCTTAGAATCAACATTAGTAGGGATCTAATTGATCATCTATTAGTAGAAAATTCAGTCTCCAATTATGATGATACCCATTCAACCTTGAATAACTTTTATTATGATTCAATAGATTTCCTGAAGCCTAGCCAAAATTTATTTTCTTTTAATTTAAACCCATTGTTTTTTTGGGCCAGTCTTCTGAAGAAACAGAACAGTTCTGCTCCTTCTATATAACAGCCTTTCAGGATCATGAAAGCAGCTGTCATCTTCCCTCATTGATCTGTCTTTTCCAGGCTAAACTTGACCAACATCTCCCACTGTTTCTCTTCTCTGTTTTAAAGTCCTTACAAGCCTTGTATCATCTTTGTAGATTTCCTCAGGATACATTCCATTTGTCAATATCCTCTCTAAAATATGGTGTCCTAAACCTTATGCTCTCTGACTAATTCAAAATAGAAAAAGGCAATGATTTATCTGGACACTGAATTTCTTTTGATGGAGATTAAGACTGCACTCACTTTATTTTCAGCCCCATCCCACTGTTCACTTATGTTCAATTTGTAATTTACCACAGTATCCAGATTGTTTTTAATGTACATACTCCTGTCCAAGTCTACATTCATGTCTTTAATTTTTCCTACCCAAACACTGTATATGATAAATTTAATTTAATTTTACAATTAGAGGCTATCCAACTCCACAAGACTCTGAGCAGCTTATAATTTTAAAAGCAAGAACAATAAAAAGCAAAAGCCATAGGTATTCAGATAAATAATCCATAACCAAGGATAAATGCCACTCCCTATTTTCAGTGGCCTTCTGAACATCATCCGTGTGGGAGCCATATAAATTTTGGGGGAAATGTTGTTCCAGAGGACAGGCACAACAAAAGACACTCCTTCTAAATTCCACAAAATGAGATTGTTTAATTGAAAGGACTAGGAATATGCCCCCTATGTCCAATTTTACATGATGAGCAGAAGTTATTGGAGACTGATAGTTCTTCAAACAATTAAGTTCTACAGCGTAAAGGGCTTTATAAGTAATAACTGTTTGCACCCAGAAGCCAACTGATGATAACCAGTGCACTCCTAGAGTGATGGTGTCACATACTGTAGCAAGCCCATTATTGCTAAGCCACTGCATTCCGAACCAGCTGTGTAGTCTTCAAGGGCACGCTATGTAAACTACATCACAGTGAGTGACACCCTTAAGTGAAAAAGGTTAACACAACCAAAACTAAGGTGGAAAGTCTCCTGGAACCGTTAGCTCAAATAACCACAATCACAGTCTTTTCAGGATTGAGCTTGAATCTGTTCCTTTCTGTCCAGACCAAGACAGCCTCCAGACACTGAGAGAGGGCACTGACCCATCACTTTGCTTGCAGCCAGGATATACAGTTGTGAGTCATCAGCTTATTGATGATTTATTGAACCCCCAAACCAATGATGTCAGCCTTGCAAACTAGGCTAGATTTAGTAGCATGTGCCACAAGAATCCTGGAACCCTACTTCATTGTTGTATGGCATAATAATAGAATCTTGAAGACATGGTAGAGTTTCCCTCTGGCTTCTTTGATATAGTATAAAGAAACAAGGAGGTGTTATTCTGATACGACCCTCTAGAATTTTTTCTATTTCATTTATGTTTGCAAATCATTTATAAATATATTGAACAACACAGGGCTGAGAATAGAGGGTTGTAGTGTGCCACTTCCCACCATCTTGACATTAAGTAACTGGTGTATACTAATAGGAACATCTAATGGTAACATAGTCCAGACTATATTTTCTCATCTTCTATACTAGAATTTCATGAGACACTTGTCAATTGCTTTGCTAAACGTGAAGTACACTATACCTGCTACATTCTTCTGGCCTATTAAATTGATCAGTGTATCAAAAAGGAGATCAGTTTGTCACCTTTTCTAGTCTATTCTTGAGAAATTCATGCTGGGTTTTGCCAATGAATTTGCAATGAACTCTTTTCTAATTGCTCATAAACTAACCACTTTAATAATCTGTTCCAAGTTTAGTCCAGTATCAATATTAAACTTACTGCTCTGTTTGTATCTGGTTTGTATCTTTTTTCTTCCTTTTTAATATTAGGAACATTTATCCTCTCCAGACCCCTAGAAAACTCAACCCAACCTCAGTGATTTCTCAAACATAATTGAAACTCTAATCAACTTGGCCCCAGGCTTCAGGCTTCTGACTTTAGTAGACAATTCAGATAGACAGCCCATATAGTCTAGTAGTTACAGCACAAGGCTAGAAAGTGGGAGTCCATGATTTCTAGACCCACCTTAGCCATGAGAGCCAACTTGGTGACTTTGGGCTGGTCACTCTCTGACCCAAGCCCACCTCAGAGAGTTGTTCTGGAGAAAATAAGAGGAGAAAGGTGTGTTGGATATGTTTGCCACCCTGAGGTAATTGTAAAAATAATAAAGGCGAGTACAAATAAATAACAATAAATAATATAAGTGATATGATGATTTTTTCACTTTTCTTTTATAGGAAACATTTTGTTGTTCTTCACAGAAGGTAAATGCATATAATAATAAGAAAATGGGAAGATCAATTTTTAAATTTTTTTTTTGCATAGATTTGAAGGAAGCAATTTTTACTTTGGGAGCTGCAGCCATTTGAGGTAGTTATTATATGAAGTTTTTTGCTCCTCATAGCATTTTTAAGTCAGCAGAAGTGAAGACTGTTCAAACGACTGAGAGATTAGGAGTATAAATGTGCTAATGTGGAACTATAAATTATTTTATGATAGGAAAATACTCCTGCCTTTTGTAATAATCTAAACCTAGGGGAAAGTAAATGCTCATTTGTGATCCTATTGTAAAGCCTGGCAACTGTAATTTATCCTTGGTTAGTTTAAATCATCCCAGTATTTTCCATGCTGCAAAATCCTTTTCAGTCACTAGTACAAAAAAACTGTAGAGATTCTCAGTCATCCAGACCATCATTTGGTTGTCCCAAAGGTGCTTTTTCAGGAGGCAGCTGGACTTTCTTGGGGTTTTTTTGGAAGATGTTTTGCTTCTCAACTAAGAAGCAAAACATTCTTCAGATCTGACAGGAATACTGGGGAATGGAAGGATTTATATTCCTTGCAGACAGCTGGTCATTTGCATCCTTTTAGGGGGTCAATGAAGCACTTGGTGGTTTATCTACGTCCTCAGGATCACCTGAGTAGCGCTCCTGGTTCCTGTAGTATGCAATTTTTCTCTAGAAATCCATTCCTCCCACTCCACTCCCACACTATTCAAAGGGCGTGCATCCCAAACTGTATAGCTAAGTCTGTATAGAGATTCTGTTATCCAGCTCATGGAATATAAATCCTTCCATTCCTCACTATCCTGTCAGAGCTGAAGAAGCTTCTTGGATGAGAAGTGAAACGTCTTCAAAGAAAAAACAAGAAAGTCCAGTTGCCTCTTGAAAAAGCACCTTTGGGACAGTACAAAAGCATTTCACCATGAAATCGATTTTTTCCTATCTCTACAAGGGATGGGTTCCGCTAAAGCTTTTTCTCCCTAGTCTTTTAGCGATTACTTCATAATAGAATAGAATTCTTTATTGGCCAAGTGTGATTGGACACACAATGAATTTGTCTTTGGTGCATATGCTTACAGTGTACATAAAGAAAAAATAAAATATATTCGTCAAGAATCGTAAGATACAACAGTTAGCGATAGTCATAGTCAATCAAATCATACTAGGAAACAATAAAAACAATGTAAGTTGTATTTCATAAATTCTTTAGCTTGATACAGTTAAACTAAAGAGTTGGGGAACTTTACCAGCTAAACCTCTAACATCGGAAGGACTCGAGTCTTACCCCTTTCTCTTAGTTGCGCGTTCAAACCCATATTTTCCCCTAGGACAGGGCAGATCGGCGGACAACCGCCTCCAACTCCTCTTGCTTGCTCGGTTCTTCGGATGACCCTGAGAAACCAAGTCTTTTTGCAGACTTCCAGGACAGGACAGGACAGCACCAATGAGTGACTGTCAGAACCTGCCACAATCATCTCTTACCTAACTCGCTGTTGCAAGTCTCCAGCTAGACACTACTCTCTCTCTCAATCCCCACATCACGGAGTAAATAAGGGACAGCTTCTCCCAACCGAACACATTGGGCAACACTTGGCAGAGGCAACGCATTGAGCTTTCTCTCTTGCCCTCAACCATGAGACTGACCCTGCACACCCAACTGAAGCGAGGACGTAGCCACCCTAAACTGCCGATCCGCGGCTGCAGCTCTCCACCCTCTCGCCTTGCGCAGGAGACAGCCCTGTGGCGCCACTTCAACGTTGCAGCGCATGGGGAAAGTTACCCCGGCAATTACGGCTCAAATAATTAAAAAAAAAACAAAAACCCGTAAGAGTGCTTAATATTAAAGTCAACTTGAATTAAAGTCAAGGTACAAATTTCCGAAGTAAGCTCTGAATCCATTTTATTTTATTTATTTTTGCAGGAAAGAAAGCAGATGATGAGGCGACCTCACAACCCGCGACATAAAAAAAAAAAAAAAGCACAGTTTAACTTGACGCATGCGTCGTTCCGGAGGTTGATTCATCACAGAGACGGGCCGCTGTTGCTTCTGATTGAGCAGCGAGCGGGTCACGTGGGCTGTCTCCGGCGCATAAACCTCGCCTTGCCGTAAGCGTAACGTAAACGCCTGGCGTAAGTCGGGCCTGTGGCGGTCTACAGGGAGGATCGTTTTCCATTTCCGGTAGAAGGAGTGGAGACGCTTTCTGAGTCTAGGAATGGGGTCTTTGTCTTCCTCCTCCAAGTGGGAGAGAGGGAAGGCGTTTTGGGCAGGGCGGACCACCTCCTTCCCCCCTTTGTAACTTTTGAGTAAATCGGCTCCTAAGGCTGTAGAAAGGGAATGGGGAAGGAGCCGATGTTCTAACCTTCGATTCCCGGTTCTTGTTGAGGGTCTCCTCCGGTTCGGTATAGGCTCGGTCTCCTCATTCAGTCGCCCAGAAATCATAACATCTAAGATTACTGCATATTCTCTTATGATTCAATTATTACAGCTCACTGTGTTCTCCTACTTCCCTCTTTCTTTGTGCCCTCCAGGTGAGTTAGCATCTAATGCATTTGAAGGGCCTCAAGCGCGGGAGAACTTTTTTGGCTTTTTTTGTTTGTTTAATGTTTGCAACTTTCTGACCAAGGGACAGAGGTGGCTCATAAACACTTGAAATAATTAGTTTTTCTATTAATGATTTAATAGTCATTAAAATATTAAAGCGTTCTGCTTTTATCTTCCTTTCCCCAAAATCTGGGGAGTACTGAAGTTTGTTGAAATAGAAGCAGATTCAGTACTACTGAGCTTTGTTTTATGACATAGCCATAGCATAATTGCTTGGACTTTCCTTAAATTTGCGTCTTCTAACTGTTATGTTTAGCAGTAGATTGTTGAAAAGTATTTGTATAATAAATATTGAAGAAAATACATTTTTGAATAATTTAAAGTGTGAAAAAATTTGGGGAGAGGAGTTAACTGCTTCTGTTGTTTAATTACATAACTTTTCATCCTAACACACAATATCTTTTGATTGAAACAAAGGAGAGAGTGATCCTACTACATCTTATATTTGGGCTTGGCCTTTTTTTCATCTTTAATGGAATTCGTGATATTGCAAAAGATTGATCTACAATATTTTCTTCCATAAATCATAAAAGAATCTCTTAATGGCCCCTTGCATACCTTGTTCACTAGTATTTTTGCAAAAGCTTTTACTCAGCATATTTTCAAAGTGATAATAGTAGATCTGTTCAGCACACATTTTAATGTTATTTTACCATATCTGCTAGCTGTTTACTTCCCAGAATTCCCTTATGGAACATGTTAACTAGAATTTGGTATTTCTAGTCTAAATTACTATACTAAAGTTATGCATTTGCATGATTACCCTAATATAATGATAACATGACATTTTTAAATGATGGAGGGGTGTTTTGGTCATATTATCTTATGTTCAGTTAAATTCCCTGAATCTGCAAAACACTTTTATGGATCTCACCTTGTTTATGGACAGAAGAAATTTCTGCTGAATTAATATACTTCCAATAAGTAAATAAGAACATTTTAGGGTTGTTAATACTCTAGATGCTTTGTTTTATTTTTTGATAATTTATTTTGATAATTCCTATTTTATCCAAATACGATAAAATTAGAATAATTTTAACTGGTTTATTAAAGACATGCCAATTACAAAACGGGTTATGAAATTAATATGGTTCAAGGAACAAGAATTAAGAATAAACAGTTTTCTGTTGTGTTATAGTGCTAATCTATGATTGATCAAAAATAGTGGAAAAGTGGGGGGAATACTATGGGGAAATCTCTGTAGCTCCTATCACAAACCATAGTTTATTATGGTGCTTTAAATCAAGGGTGAAAAACTGGTGGGCCTTTTAAAATATCCTTTGTAGCGTCTGGAAAAATGTATGTATTTTTTGCATTATAGGGGGCTTGAGAGATTTCAAAGGGAGAAATGGGCCCATGATAAATTTGAGATGTAATGTCTTTTGCATTTATTATAGTTATAGTGGTAATGAAATACCCTTAATTTCATATAACCCTGCTGCAGAAATTAGTATTTCATTTATAGTAATCAATCAAATTCATTCAAAAATCCAAGACATGTTCTTTTTCATTTCAGACATGGATAATGGATTTAAGTTACAGTAAAATAGATTAGAAGAAATTAACTAACAGCATAAGCAGTTTGAGAATACGACCAGTCTCTCAAAGAGGTGATTGGCTCCATTGCAACAGCTTTAATTTGATTCCATGCATGGAACAGAAAGAACTTCCAATTTTATAACTTCATCGCTTTTTTACTTCTAATTTATGTCAATGAAGTATGCTTTTCTGAAACAATTTATGAAAATGTTTTTAGGATTGTGAATGGTCCTGAAGATATAAACCACCTAAGATTGAATTTTGTACTTAAATAATACAGGTAGTCCTTGATTTACAACCATGATAGAAACCAGAAAATTTGTAATTAAGTTGTGCTGTTGTTAAGTGAGGTATCACATGACTGCACCCAATTTTATGAACTTTTTGTCTCATTTAAGTGATTCACTTACAGTTTTTAAGCTAGACATCATGTGATCACAACTTGCAATCTCCTGCCGGCTACTCAATTGATGTTGCTAGTTCGAAGTTCACTGGAAAGGTCACAAATGGCACAAAAGGACTGCATGATGCTGCAAATATCAAATGCAAGCCAGTTGCCAAGCCACTGTATTGTGTTCATGTAACTCTGGGTATGCTGCAATAGTTGTAAGTGTGAGGACCTATCATGACTCATTTTCAATGCCGTCATAACTTCTAACAGTTGCCAAACAAATAGTAAGTAAGAACTTGTAGGGTTCTTTGCTTTCCAAGGTCTGGGCACACCGCAGTATAGCAAAACTGTACACAATGCTTTATTGCAACATGTTCTTTCCCAACAACAGTCTGTTGCTCTGGGTCAACTCCACCCTTCTAGTAATTATGTCTTTAATACTCACTCCTTTATATTCAGTCTTCTAATACTCAGATGAAACAAAAGTCTCAGTCTATCAAGTAATGTGCAATCTTTGCCTTTCCCCCCAAAGTTCTTGAACTAATTGGGATAGGGTGCTGTTTCGTTGTGATTGCTCATTTTCTAGTTGCTGATAAGGTCCAGGCAGGATTCCCACCAGGGTATGCTGCTCACCATAGGTTGTGATCCTGGTAGTTAAATCATGCAGTAGTCCTCTTGCCTGTGCTTCCTTGTCTGTATGCTGTTTGCTATCACCTTTCCTGCTGCGCACATCCCACACTCTCTTGGTATTTGCTTTTCTAAGCTAAAACCCTGAGTGGGGTTAGATTGCTTCTGGACGTCAAGTCAGCACATCCATCAAAATGATAGGGCATGGCTCAACTATAACAGGCAGCTGGAATGCCAGTTTAGATACTTGTGATTGAATGTATGGGGGAAATGGGGTTCTGCAGACCGCAGCTACTCTCCAAAAGAGCAGACAGCAACCCAACTTCATTCCTTCACAGGTCTATGTATAGGGAGTTGCATTTGTATTGAACATCATTACAGTTTAGTAATTACTGCATGGTAGAAAGTGACGATCACATAATAGCTACAGTACACAAGTATAGTTTTTAGACTTAATATACATATGTTATGCTTTAAATCAAGTTACATTGCTGCTTGTATAGAATTTTAATATTTAATAATATGCTTCTGTGTGCACTAAATAAGCCTACAAACTATTTGAATCTCATCGCTGTATCTATCAAATAAAGCAAATGTATTCACATTGGATCTAAAGCATTCAAGGTTTAAACATTGCATAGACCTTGTTTTTCAGCTTGGCATAACATCAGATTGCTTCTGCTGAGGTCAGAGTAACCTGTTTGGAGCAAGAAAGGACTTGTTCCTTGGATAGTTTGCTAGGCTATAAATTTGTTCAGTTTGTTCCAAGGTTGGAGACATGCCTCTGGCTTCAGACGAAAGAGACTGACATTAGATTCTTCCCTCTCCTGCTACAATAGAAACCAGGAAAGCCCCACCTGCCTTGATAAGAGAAAGTGTATGTCACATTAGATGAAAGGAGAGGATCCTAAACTCCACAAAATTAATTGCATATAGCAAGATTTTTTTTTTAAGAAAAAGTACGTTATCCTTTCCTATTTTTGTTTTTCTTATATATAGTTGAAGGAAGCACTTAGATTTCCATTAAGTATCGCTGTGCTTGATTAATCCTTTACCCATTTACTTGGGAGTGAGCTCCATTAAATGCAATAGAAATGTTATATGTATAAAATTTTGCTATATGAATAATTAAATTTCATCTTAATTTTTGCCGAATTTGGTGCTGAATGAAAATAACTTCAGCCCACCCTCTGGAACAACCTCCCCCCAGAGATACGTACAATAACAGACCTCCGGATTTTTCGTCAGGCCCTGAAAACTTATTTATTTCAACTAGCCGGGCTGGCTTGATCCCACAGTTTTGAGTTAATTTTAATTGATTTTAAATTGGGTTGTTTTAAATTACGGCCAAAAAAATATTTAATCATTTTAAACTGCTTTTAAATTTTGTATGTTCTGTTTTTATTTCGGCTGTTCACAGCCCTGAGTCCTATTGGAGAAGGGCGGTATATAAATGGAAACAAACAAACAAATAAATAAATAAACAAATAAATAAATAAATAAATCCTGCTTCAAATAATTCCTCCAACATTTTAAGCAACAAAACAGTGACATCAGGAGTCCGATGGGAGAACAAAATTACCTGCATGCAATTTTAATCCATTGATAAATTAGCTATACTTTTTTAAAAATCATAATTTTTGAAAATATATAAATATTAGAAACTAAAGAGCAACATTTTTTCTGGAAAAAAATATTTAAATGGCATCCAGAGACTTCTTTTGCATGCCCCTCCCCCCCCCGTCTCTTAAAAAATAGTAGAGCAGTATAAATTTTCAGTGAAATTGTTTCTACTTCTATCTTCTCACATGTTCACTCTTCCTAGATCTGTATGATATACAGATGGACCTCAAGTTATGACTTTAATGGAACCTGCCCATTAGGGTCGTAAATAAAAAAAAAATTCAAATGAATCAGACTCAATTTTATGAATTTTTAAAATCAAATTCATTAATTGAATCAAATGGATTGTTAAATGAACAAATATCTGATTTACTATTTCCTCTGATTCATTAATTGATTGCTGCCATCATTAACTGGTGAAGAGGCTTTCCCCACTACTGCTGGCCTCCTATCAACTGTTTCCGGTGCAACCTTCAGCTCAGAAACTAAATTACCTCCAAACAGGCTCTCAGAACTTTCTGCTTGCAGTTGCTTTTAAAAAATAAAATCTCTTGCTGCTAGTCAGCTCAAGCATCTCTAAGCAGCTGCCCCGAGGGGGGTGGGAGGGAAATTTATAGAACTCTCAGCTTGAGTCACTTTAAAAAAATATATCGCTTGCTCTTGCTAAGCTCAAACCTCTCCAGGCAGCATCAAAAAACCAAAAATAAACACAGCGCTGGCTGCAAAATCATCGGATCTTGTTTGGCCATGTGACTGGGGGGACACCCCTGCTGGCTGTAGGAAATAGCATGTTGTAATCCCGAACGGCAAAAGGGAAGTCGCAGAGTTAAAAATGGTTGCCAGCAGTGATTGAATCCAAGTCACATGATTACAGAGGCCTCTTTTTGGTTGCAGTTTTGAATTTCTAACGTAGATAAACTCTCTGGATAAATTCATTCTTGTGAAAATTCGCTAAATGAATGGTAGTACTTGGGGGATTACCTGTATGTTCCATTTTTCCTTGTGTAAAGGATTTATTTTTTATCTTTATTTTTCAGAATCTCTCTGGATTTCTGCTGTACTCAAGTTTTAGTGTAAACTCAGTTCAAAGAAGAAACTATGCAGCGAAGGCACAAAGGATTAAATACTGGAGTGCTTTTCCTCCTTTCTCAGCTCTATCATGTTGGGTTTCACAACATTCCACCTGTTACGCTTGCAACCTTGGCAGTGAACATTTTCTTTTTTCTACAACCCCTGAAACCTCTGGACAAAGCATGTATTAGTGTCAATGATTGTCTTTACAAAAAAGATTGGCATCGTTTGTATCTTTCAGCATTTCACCATGCAGATGACTGGCATCTATATTTTAATATGGTCTCCTTGCTTTGGAAAGGAATTAAATTGGAGAACAGACTTGGAACTATGTGGTTTGGATACATAACTGCACTGTTTTCACTACTTGTGGGAGCTGTATACCTATTTCTGGAAGCTATACTGGCGGAATTTCTTGGTGATCCTATATATGAACATCACTGTGCTGTTGGTTTTTCTGGTAAGGGGTTCTTTATTATGCTTCCACTTTTTATTATAAGACTATTATTTATTGCAAATGCTGGCTGTTAGGAAATAGATAATATGTATTTAAAAAGATAAATTTTCCCCTCGCACATATGTGGTAGTTGTTCCCCACTCTAGGGGGTGGTGCTCACCTCCGTTTCAAAGCCGAAAAGCTAGCACTGTCTGAAGACATCTCCATGGTCATGTGATCGGCATGACTAAAAGCTATAGGCACACGGAACACTGTTCCCTTCCCACCAAAGGTGGTCCCTATTTTTCTACTTGCATTTTTTATGTGCTTTCAAACTGCTAGGTTAGCAGAAGCTGGGACAAGTAACGGGAGCTCATCCCGTTACGTGGCACTAGGGATTTGAACCGCTGAACTGCCGACCTTTCGATCGACAAGCTCATCGTCTTAGTCACTGAGCCATGTAAATATGTATTTAGGGAATGTGAAATTAGCATGTTCTTGAATGATACAATTAAACACAACTTTGTCACTGCTACATTTTTCTAGTAGTCTCTCACAAAGGAAACTAAAAGACAAACATCTGGATTTCCAGGAAATATGGCAGATTGAAAATGGTTCTGTGAAAAGTAGACCTAAAATATACACGGCTACAAATAGGAAGCTGGCATGTAGATCAGCTACTTCAACCCTCTCTGAATGAAGAGAGGACCCTGGAGGGAGGGAGAATCAGGACAGGGGAATTTGCTGTAATTGCTCCAATCACAAATGAAGCCTTTTAAAAGGACAGTTCCCTTGCTAATCATTTTTGGAAATTGCCGCCAACTCCTTCAAAGTGACACAATTAGAAACAATGTGGAGTGTCTTCAAGCCTTAATACAAGAAAACAAAGATTTTTCAAATATTTAAAAATTTAAAATAAATGGCAAAAAGCAAGACAGGATTTTGGCTACAGAAAGCTTTAAACAGATTAAGGGCTTACAGAATTTTGGAATATTGAATTTGGAAGAATAATTTAAAATTAAAATTAAAGAATAAATACATCCTTGTGGGAAAGAAAACCTTTTTCATATTAAAGACATGACATAACAGGGCAAGCAATTACAATGGCGTTCAGAGATATCTTTGAGGAATTGCACTAGGATTTGATTATGTCAGCTTTGTTGTGTTTTGGGAACAGTCTGTTTCCCAGAAAAAGATGTTACAAAAAAGATATGCAACAGAATTTATCTGAGAACAATATTGAGACTTTGAATAGAATTTGTCATTAGATACAAAAAAAAAAAAAAAAATGGATGAGGCTTTAAAAAACAAGAAGGAAATAAAAATAATCCCAGAGAGCAATTGGAACTTTTTTTCCTAGACTTATAAAATAGGCTGTATTGTAAAGTATTGAAGAAATTTGTAACAAGGATCAACAACCAACTGAATGGATTACAGAGAAAGATTGTTCTGTATTTAAGAAAGGAATACAAAGTCAGTTTATTTTACCAGATTTACAAATGTTATTTTTGTGGTTCTTTTTGGATGCTGATAATCTGGACTGAAAAAGTGGCATATTGGATTTGCATACATTTAATATGGTGTTTAACCCTTTCCCATACTTTGTGTGTTCTAATTTGATAGCATTTAAACTGTATCCAGCTGTTTGTTACTTAAAGTAATGAAGTTTTGTAAACTTGCTTAAAAGATAAAATACCTTAAATTTAGTCTTTTGTTTGTATTAGAATACTGAGATTACTTTATGGTTTAATGTGGATCTCTTTATGTTTTAAACTTGAGATATGGAAAGTTTATTTGACTGGGATATGTTATGTGGGGTGGGTTTCTTTGGAATTGTTGGCATTTGGAATGGAAAAATGTATATTGAATCTTGAAAGAAATGATCCCTTTTTGTCATATTAGACCAGTGATGCCTAACCTTTTTGCCGCCAGGTGCCAAAAGTGGGGGGAGCGCAGGGGGTCACACGTGCATGTGCCCACATCCATAATTCAATGTGCCCCAAGTATGCGCGCAACCCACTCACCCCCCGCGCTCCCCTTGCTTTTGGCACGTGATGGCCTGGTAGGCCCATTTTTTGCCCTCTCCAGGCTCCAGAGGCTTTCTTGGAGCCTGGGGAGGGTGAAAATCAGGGCTTCCAATCCTACCAGAAGTTGCCAAATGGGCCATTTCCAGTCTCCGGAGGGCCTCCCCGGGGGTGGGGAAGGCCATTTTCGCCCTCCCCAGGCTCCTAGAAAGCCTCTGGAGCCTGGGGAGGGTGAAAAAATGGGCCTTCCCCACCTCCTCTGGAGGTCCTCTGGAGGTCGGAAACAGCGTGTTTCCCGACTTTCAGTGGGCCTGGAAGGCCCGAAAATCAGCTGGCCAGCGTGCATATGTGTGCTGGAGCTGAGCTAGGACAATGCTTGCGTGCCCACTGATATGGCTTCGCGTGCCACAGATTCGCCATCACGGTATTAGACTTTAGATTTTTGTTTAGACTAGGATATTGGGACCATTTATGCCTTTTAAATGGGAGTTTGCTTGCAGCTATGAATTGTGAGATATATTAATATTTTAGAACTTTGTTTAGAATTTTTACTGATAACTGGATTGAAAAAGATGTTGCTTATTTGATTTGCCTACTATTAAGATATAAGTTATGGGATGAAGAGTTTCATAGTTGTTAGTTAAGAGGAGATGAAAAAATAATGAAATTGTTTATACTTGTGATGAAGGCAATGCTTTCTAGAGGGTTATTTTTTATGTGTTGTTTTTTTGCTCCTTGATCAATGAAAAAGGAAATTAAAAGTGAATCGAATTGTAAGCAACAGAGTCATGGATTAAGATGGGCGGCTATACAAATTGAATAAATAGATAGTAAATAAAATCTGAAACAGAAATGTACATTTCAATATACATGTGCTGATCTCAATCTGATAGTAACACCTTGCTGATATTTTCTAAGTTTGGAAACCAGCAGTTATCTGGTTTCGGAATCCAAGGACTATAGCAGACCTGTCAAACTGGCGGCCTGAAGACCAGATCTGTGATGTGCAGGCTACGCCCACCCCAGCTCCGCAAAGCCAAAAAACATTGTGATATGTGACGATCTGGCCCATGACGCGATCGAGTTTGACACCCGTGGACTATAGGCTAGATTGAGAAGTGAAGGGAAAAAACTACCCATCCTGGAATAAGCTTGTGAATGACCTCTTTTCCCTTTTTCCTTCAAAGAAATTGCATGGATATATCAATGAAGTCATCAAGAGCTGAGCTTGATTTCAATATTTTAATACATACATTGGAAGAATGATGCTAAAATATCACTGGTAGTCAGCAAGGAGCACACCTCCATTGCTACTTTTCAGATGTATAGTCAATATTCTTTGCTGTTAATCAAGGATTTACGATAAAATCCAGAAAGAGCTTTTTTTAAAAAAAAAATCCTAATTTTAATCAGAAATTTAATAGTAAAGAGTAACTCTTTAATATGCCAAGAATTGATAGCTTGACACTTAGAAATCTTTCGCTATTCATTGTGTTATTTTATCAAACTACTCAGAAACCTGGTAACATACAGTATCATCACAATTGAAAGGAAATTGACATCTATGCTCCTATATTATGATGTAGGAACAAAACTGGTATCAGGTTTGATCCTGTTTGTCACTATCCTGATTGTGTTATTGGAGAGGTTATCACAATTCTGTCTTTGCAATATCATTTGCTTGTAGAAAATTTGCCTGTTGTTTAAGTGCTTTCACTAGGGTAGGCTGGTGAGACAGACGAGATGAGGCTTGCAGCCCTGAAGTTCCTTTCTCTGCCCCAATGCTGAGTCTGCTTTTGAGGTTCCAATGGCTCTATATCCTTCGTTGTCATGAGAATAATCTGCCTTTCTTAACCAAACTTTTAAAATAGGATTACTTTTCAATAAAATGAGAATTTTTACAAGGTTTCCTTAGCCATTTGTCTGAACATCTGATCTTAGTTCCAGTTATATTAGCACAATATTGCACTTTGTTTATACTAATGAGAACCCTTTCTTTTCCTAAAATCACTGGTAACATTATCACTCTTTGGGGAATTTTGTTTTTAGTTTTGGGAAAAAGTACTGGAATATTTTAAAAGTACACACAGATTTAGATATTTTTGCCACTGTACAGTATTGAAATACTGTAACAGAAGTGATTTACATGATCTTTGAATAAATGGAATGCAAGACATACCAAGAGCAACAGAGCCTCTATATTCTTTAGTTTTTATATTACTTGAGAATTCCTCTTGCTGTGATCTTTTTTCTTTATTTCTATATAGGAGTGCTATTTGCTTTGAAAGTTCTTAATAACTATTACCATCCAGGGGGATCAACCAATATTATGGGCCTGAATGTATCCAATAAATACTCTTGTTGGTTGGAACTTCTAGCAATCCATGTATTAAACCCACGGTAAGTCTGCTGTCAGTCATTTAGAACTTAAATTACTTTATATGTATGTATGTAGATATTACGTAATGGATAATAGTTACATATCAATGTCCTTATCCAATCTGGATTGTGCTTTTTAACCGAAAAAAATGTTTATTATAGAAGAAAATAGGAGATATAAGAAGGATTTGGCCAAAGTTATATTAGAGAGTTCATGCATGATAATAGATAGATTTGGTTAATGTGATACATAAGCCACAGTTTGCTTAATTGTAATTAAACAATAAGCATCTTGCGTTACCAATTTATCATGGTTTATAAATCACTGCCTTATTTCATGCAGCATATTCATAATCAAACATTGCAGTTTAGTGAGATAGAACTGTATCTGTATATTGAAAATTTTATTTAAACAGAAGCAACTGCTCCTTCCTAAACATGTGGAAGTGGTGTTTTCAAACAAATCCTCATTTCTCTCTTACAATCATTGGGAATATGGAAACAATATGATTTAAACACTAGGAATACGTCATGCATCAGGATAGCTTCCTTCATTTTAGATGGGGATGCCAGATAATCATTCCCCTGAAATAACTTATCTTGTTATAGTCATTTGTCAGTTGAAGTTAGCTTTAAGAGTAATCATGTTGTAATCTGAAAAGGATTTTTCTTTTCTTATTGGCATACCTTTTAAAAGAAAAATTAACTTCAAATCGATTAAAATCAATCTTATCTACAGTTAGCATTTATTTCTTCAAGGTCTATGTTTTGTTGTAGATTGTAATTTTTTTAAATACCTTTGATACTTGAGAATTCTGAAAATATAAATAGAAAGATTCTACCCTTTTAGCTCTTTATGATCTAAATAAAGAATTTGGATACAAATGCAATTTAATGCAAAATGAATTATTTTGGATCATAATTAGATAATTGTTATTGCTCAAAATTTTTGAGATAGTGAAATGCATATGTCTCCTTTAAATATATTAAACTCTTAAAATGTTAAATATATCCAATGGAGTGAAGGTTAATGAGGTTACAGAAAGTTTCTAATCAGGAACAATGCATCTCACAGAAAATTGCTTTCGTTTTAGGAGTTCTTTTGCAGGACATCTGGCAGGTATTCTTGTTGGCCTAATGTATACCATGGGACCCCTGAAGATTTTCATGACAGCATGTACAGGTAATAATGACACTAGAACTTCCCAAACATTGCTGTTCAATATAATTTTAAAGGAATTTAAAGTTATATTGTACTTCAGAACTTTAGAATTATGCCATATGGTGCTTAAATTATATATTATACAATGTATATATATTTTATCAGGGTGAGGGTTCATTTTCCAAGTTTGTGGGTTGGTTTCCAAACTTTTTGTTACCAGGGTAGGTAACATCTTCAGCAGAGTTTAGGGGATATCCGTGTCAGTATTCTTTTGTTTATAAGGGCTTCAAGTATGGGTTTGTCTGGTGAGGGTCTTGTGATGGGTCAGCTGTGAGTCTTGTGATTACTTGATGTAATCTCCTAAACACAAGATTTATCACAAGACTCACTGCTGTCTCACAGCTGATCCATCACAAGATCCTCACTTGACATACCCACACCTGAAGCCCTTATAATCAGAAGAACACTGACATCACCTAAACTCCGCTGGTAACAAAATGTTTGGAAACCAACCCACAAGCTCGGAGAATTCACCTTCATCCTGCAACCGAGCTACAGATATTTGCCAGTGTTGGATTTTAATTTAATGTATAATGCTTAATGTTAAAGGCTACTTATTATGAGTGGATAGCAGACAAATTGGTGTAAATATAGACAAATGAATAAATAAATTTGATAATCAAATAATGTACAATATAAGTTTTCTACTTTGCCTATAGGACAGAGAAAAACTAAGTCATTTGTTGATGAAGGTGTGCCACTGGCTGTGCCCATGGTAGTAGGAGTTACTGCTATAGATGATTTTTCATAGAGGTAGTCCTCGACTTAACAACCACAATGGAGCGAACAACTCTGATCGTAATCAAGGCACCATGTGACCAGTTTCAATTTTATATGATTGTATTTGATGGTGGTCATAAAGTGAGTAATCCTGGTCATTAAACAAATCACATAAGCAAGTAAATCCAGCAAATGCTGTACAATTGGTATTTTTTGCTGTTTTCTGTTGCAAAACAGCAAAAAAGTAGCAAATAGCAGTCATGTGACTTGTACCAGTTTTAGATTTGAGAATGGATCATAAGTAGCTTTTTTTTTGGTCTGTTGTAACTTTGAACAGTTGTTAAACAACTGATCATAAATTGAGGACTACCTGTAATCTACACAGTGAGCTCCTTTGAAAAATGCATTCTTGCATATGTTCTTTTGAGCAGTACAGAAGAAAATTCCATATTTTTAAATGGAAATAACTTGTGTACTAGTTGTGTCCTTCTGAGCAAGATTGAATTAATATTATTCTCAATAACCATGAGACATTGTACACAGTTTGTTCCAAAGGTTATGCCAGTGCTAACTCTTTATTGTGTTATTTTAATTCTGGATAGTATGATCAAATTAAAAAGCCAGGTACTAAATAAAATAAATATATATCCCAACAGTTATCTATTGCTTATATCCATTCACATATGCTGTTACAGGAAAATATATTCATTTAAAATTTTATTTTATTTAAAATTAAAACGACAAATTTGGTAAATATGTCAGGTAAGAATCAAAACAAATATAATTTGACATACAACTTGTTAACTTTTTAAATAACAGAATGATATTTTACATGTTTACAAATACTCATTATAATTTTATTTCTAGGTGGCCATATATTTCCAACTGGCTTTTCAGAACAAAGGAACAATTACAGAAGAGGCAAGTAATTTGGATTATAATCTTCCAGTTTTTATCTCAGAGAAAATTTTGTTGTAGGATTTACCTTATGTCAGTTGGTACAGATTAATACTATGTGTTGGTAAAAAATAATTCACATCTTATTTCTTCTCTATTACAGTTTTTATGTGTTCACAAGTCTGTTCATATTATTCTTTAATATTTCAATATTTAAAGAAATGTGTTCCATAAGATTGAATCCTTGTTTATATTAACATTTATTGTTCTTCCTCCCTATATCAGAAAACTTAAAAGATGTCTTACACGACTCTTAACTTAATCAAGCTGAGCATCCACACAGCTTTTAAAAGAAATTTTTAAAAACTTGGTAAAGAAATAGGACTTGGGATGAGAAAGCCAAATTTAACCTTTCCATTGATTAACAGACAGAAATCCAGGTTTATTTATTGAGCTCCACAAATGCATTTTATACAGTATAACGATTTCCAATTCAAAGAGAACCTCAATTCAGAGAGTCAGTTTTCAAAAAAGCTGTTTTTGTATTCTCAGTCAGGCCAGTAGTAGTTTTTGTACTTTTGAGAGGATAGACAACATATAGGGTTTTTTTTTCTTTAAAGGGTGATGGCTATCTAATCCAAGACAAGAAGGTTAACAATATTCCCAATCAGTTATCTTCCATTTGTGCTGCCTGGGGACTGAGGGAATTATAATCCAGTTATCATATCAACCATAGAAGCCTGTTTTACAATATAGAAGTGAATCTTTGTAGCATAAGATACTATTATTTGTTACACAACACATATTTTACATGCAGTTTATGTTGCCCGTTACTAATATATAGTTCTGTGCTTCAAATTTCTTTCATAATATTTATGAGGCAAAAGTTGCTAAAACCGAATAGAATATTGACATGTTATACAGTGAAATATCAGCTTGATAGATTTCAGTGAAGAAGACATCAGATGAAAATTATTCCTATTGCATTTGTTACTTTACATTAATGTAAATGTAATTTTATAATATTTATAATAATGACATTATTATGCAATGATGTAATGGTTTACATTTTGGAATGATATTGCTATGGATGATCGGGAATCGGTGATACCCTAATTATCACAACAGTTTGCTTTGTTAAAAGAAGATTATGCTAAAGATTTATATCTGTGATTTCTTTCTGTACAGGGAATTTTAGATACTCAGGTAATCCATCCTATCCACCAAACAACTATGATACGTATACTGGTGGACTCACTGAGGAAGAACAATTTGAAAGAGCAGTAAATAACAGCTTGAGAGAAAGAGGTAAGGCAGAACAGCTATAAAGTGAATGACATGTTATAAAATAAATGCATTTCTCTTTTTAGAGTGAGAAGCATACTTAAAAAATAACTTTTCTTTTTCTCTTAAAACTGAGACTCTCTATTTCCTTCCATGGATGCAAGTTCTTATTGCTCGATTTCATTGTATACATGATGTACAATGACAATAAAGGCTATTATTATTATTATTATTATTATTATTATTATTATTATTATTGCTCTTTTTTTAAAAGGTCATCAAAATAATACCAGAGAACCCCTGAAAACTTGATCCGCTCTTATGTATGGATAGGGGACAATCCATTCTTCAATCCAATCCGTTAAATAGATTCTGATCTAGGCTGAATTATTTCTGTGATGTATTCCACCCAGTGGGCAGCCAGAGAAGTGACTTTACTGAGAACTTCGGACTGCAAGAAATGTTATCTGCACAGAGCTTAGAAACTATGTATACTCTAAAATGACAGTTTCTCCCTCATACACACCTTCAAGGCAGCTGCCTTAAGACTGTACCCTACTGCCTCACTGGTGTATACTTATGGAGGAGTCTAGGTAATTTGCTCAGGGTCATATAGTGAGTGGACATGGAGCAGTCTGCACATGAAAATGGGGGCTGGCACAATTATGGGAGACAGTCTTGGTGCCTACTTAAGAGGGCATTTACCAAATAGCAAAGAATTGCAGCACGGGCCGTTCTTGGGGTCCCAAGAGTGGCCCATGTAACACCACTGCTCCATGAGCTGCATTGGCTGCCGGTCTGCTTCTGGGTGCAATTCAAGGTGTTGTCAATCACCTTTAAAGCCCTTCATGGCATGTGCCCAGACTATGAGGGACCAACTTATCCCAATGGAATTGCCCCAGTCCACCCATGCCAGCAGAGGAGGCATGCTGTGGGCTCCATTGGCCTAGGTATTCCAGCCAGCAGGATCCAAGAGAAGGGCCTTCTCTGCCATTGCACCTGCCCTTTGGACATCTTGTCCCTTGGAGTGAAGTCAGTTCCAACCCTCCTAACCCTTCTGTAAGAGCCTAAAGACCTACCTCTGCCAGTTAGCTTGGGGCCCCAATAGGGGAGTATCACAGTGAAAGTGGTTGATAGTTTAACAACAGATCCTACCTCCTCCAATTCTTTTCCTGCTCTCTCCATCTTTTAATTGGGCCACAGTCCAATACTTTATAGTATTTTATTTATGTTTTTAAATTTTGGTATATCTTTTATCTTTTTAGATTGTCTGCCACCCAAAGTTATGATAGTTAAGATGGGTAGCCAATAAATTTTACAAATAAATAAATAGACATAGAAATCCAGATCTGTTAGTCCTAATGCTGATACAGTCTGTCAACACTGCATTATCTGAGAGACAGCACCATCCACTGCTGCCTGGACTTCAGAACAATTCAACACCCTTGAATGTAGTTACTAGTTCTTTAACTGATTTCTTACCTTTCGATAATATATACTTCATTTGTTTTATAGCTAAAAGGGATATTTGGCTAATGTCTGCGCCTCCTGCTTAATAAACAACAGTTTGAGATATAGCATGCAGATGGATAAATGGGTACCTAAAGCAAGACTCTGGTTAAAGATCTTTGCCTTGTTCAGAGTTGAGTAGGAGATGACAATAGTGGTATGAGCAGTGAGGAGAAGGAGGCCTGGGAGGCTTGAGATGGGGGCCTGGAAAAGATATCCAAGAAATCATTTTCCAATAGTTTGCCTGACATCTGGACAAGAAGCTGCTGCTATTGTGCTGCCCATCTATTTCACACCTAATAGTTCATGTGTTTTGCAGATGTCTACACAGAGCTGTTGTTACTCATATTGACCATGTAGCATTAACAACAATGGCAAACTCTTTATACTTCTATAGGTTTTGTATTCAGAAGGAAAAGTGGAATCTTGTTTTCCTCTACTCTTGCTGTTTGTATAATATTTGATTATAGTTGCAGTTGTGTGAGATGACTACTCTTAGACTGTCTGAAATAATAACACATCAATTTTAAGTGTCTGGAAATTTTAATTTGCATAATAAAGGCAAGAGGTTATGTGGACAGCATTTGTGGCTGCTTAAATCAATTCAAGGGTCAGCTGTCCCCACCCCACCTCTTTTTTTTATATCCCACTGAAAACATTTCTTTTCTGCATAACTCAGGACATTCCCATTTCAATAGATGATTGTACTCTCTCAGTTTTTCTCCTAATAGAATGCAAGTATTTAAAACTTGTGTATATCCTCCAAGTTCTTGGCCAGGATGCAGGAAGTGCCAAGTGCTGCCTCTTACATTGTGTTCAATAAAGGTTTTAAATAGCTCTGGATGCTCATTAGTTTGTGTTCCCAGGAAATACAGTGACTTATGATTGGCTACTATTTACAAAGCCACAGCTGTGTTAGTTTATTTCACGCAAGAAAATTGCCACAGAAAGTCAGAAAATTGTGATACTAATAATATGTATTGTAATCACTAAGAAAAAAGATGTCATAATTATGGTATCTCTAGTCAGTACAAACAAATAACTAGAAACAGCTGAATGCTAAGTACCCTAACTGTGGAGACATAAGCCTAAGAGTTTGTATGTGTAAATAGAACAAGATATTTATTTACATTCTAGAACATACATTCTAGAAATTTTGTACCTGATGGGAATAAAACTTCATACCTCATACTTTATCTTGCCAAACTTTGTTTTGGTAAAGATATCCAGAGTCATAATTGTCATAATTAACTCATACTCTATTATTAAAATAGGTTTAAAAACAAAAATATATTTATCTCTTCATCATGATGCATCTTGCAAAATCAAGTAAGGAAAACAAAACACTATGTAATCACTTTGACCGCATAATCTAAAATGTGTAAAACAGCAAAAAGTCTGAGTTGTGCAGGAACTCTAGTGAAAAAAGTATATAATATAATGTGAGAAAACAGCATTTGATGTTCTTTTTAATAATTTTTAATATTGCTACATCTAGAATAAGAAACATAAAAATTAATTTTTAAATAGTATTTAATGTTTCAGTTACAAGTGTAAAATATATTACTATACTTTTGGTTCCTTCCTCCCAAATGTTTGGCGAAGCAATTTCTAACAAAAAGTTTTCATACATCCTTATTTTTATTATGAGTGCAGATAATACTTTCTGGAAGTTTGCTTTTTATTGCTAGAATAAATTTTATTTGCAGCACAGTGTTTGGGGTCACTATTGCTTGAAAGCAAATTAGTCTGGCAGGTTTTCTTGCTGTGTTGAGCTGTAAAATCTTTAATTAACAACTGGAAATGTGAACTTTATTTTGAATTGGCACTGGAAATCTTTTATTATGGTTGTCATAACCATCTATTAGATTATGCGATGAGATACATCTATGCACAAGTGCCCACCCAATGCCAAAAATACTTTTTAGAAAAATTTATGGAACAGTCTATGAAAACACGTGCATTCTTTGACAAGGCAAAAAACTGCTTATGACTTAGAAAAGCTCTAATTAGAAAAACACTTAATTACCATCTCCTGATAGGATGTGTTTCGTTTCCTGCCCCATATAATAAAACTACTAAGGCTTAAATCGGTACTATTGTCAAAGAACTGATAAAATAATATTCTGTACTAAAATTATTATAATGGTGTGTGAGAAGTTATGTAATTTTGTGTTAGAAAAATGTTTCTCGATTAGGCATCATCCAGATGCATTAATTTACTTACAGCTCCTAAAAACAGTTTAAATCTGTAGAAACCTTACTGCTGATAATTTAGGTATATGTGTCATTCAGAACTTACTGAAGACTTTTAAAATTTGCTTTAATATATAGTTGCAGTCACATGATTGTCATTTGCAACCTTCCCTATCAGCTTCACCAGAAAGTCAATGGGAAGTGAAGGTCACAAGTTGTAAAATTGCCCGACTCATGCACCATCCTCTAGCCCCTCTGTGCCCTCATTGGGCATTTGTGCATCCTGCATACCCTTGCATTCCTTCCAGTCAAAGAGATGGTATTTTCTCAAATCAGTAATTCAGCTGTTCATTATATTTTATTTTTCATTCTTTGAGATTAAAAAAGGATGATACTGAAGCCTGTGAGGGGGGAAGTAAGGTGGGGCATGCATACACTAAAGAGTATATCAGTGTTAGCACCTTTTTTGGCACCGAGTGCCAAAACGGGAGAGCGTGGGCATGCATGGGGGAGCCCTGGAAACCGGAAGAGCAGCTCCCCAGTGTTCATAGTGGGAGCGCGCGGAACTCAGAAGAATAACAGATGACGGCTGGCATGCCCGGAGAGATGGCTCTGTGTGCCACTTCCAGCATGCATGCCATAGGTTTGCCATCATGGGTATATACTGTAGTTTGAATGTATTCTGTGCTGTGTTTCCTCCAGTACCATTGCATAGGTGCATCTTTTCATTTCTTTTGCCTTTTGCTTCTTCTGACTTGCATCCAAACTGCATTTCCAAGAGTGATTGGTCATGTATTCTTTTTATTATATGCAAATGAGCTTTCTGAATTTGGGCAAATGAAATAATGTCTTGGTGTTACAAGTGATGCAAATTGAACTTGATTCCTGCTGACTTCAAAGCTTACTTTGTAGAGCTTTTGTCAGGAATACAGAAGTGATTTGCCACTACCTTTCTGCAAGCTATTTTTTTCAACTTCCCTATCTAGCCTGCAGCCCCAGTATTGGAAGTACCATCCAAATACTAACCAGGCTCAACTCTGCTTAACTTTCAAGTTTAGATGAAGTCATCCAGCTGCTGCAGACCGCTGAGGCCCAACTGAATTATCAAAAATTATAAAAATAAATATTTAAAATTATAATTTTTAATTATATGCCCAAGCAAATACATTAATTGGAAAAAGAAAGAAAGAAATAGTTTTGTTGTATATAAACATTTTTTTGGCTTTATTTTGCATTTGTGGTTTGGCTTCTTTTATTCTTCTCAGCTCAGTTTCTCCTTTAAGAACAAAGTTGCTCTATTTTTTTTTACAATCCAACAGCCTCCCAAGTTCCTAATATTTCAAAGCAATATTGCTTACATTGGCTAGAAATTTTGGAAATTGCTGTTCCAGTATACCTGACAGGCACAAGACTTAAGATAACTGCTCTTATGTGTGTCTTAATATTGCTAAGTCTTGCTATTAAAGAATCCTTTTAAAATGTATTCATTTATTAAGAAATGTATATGGCCACCCATCTTAAATAAATAATCCTTAGTAGTTAGTACCAATTTAGAAAAAAAAAAGTTAAAATACTCCAATTCAAAGTAAAACACAAGACACCATATAAATTTCCCTAATGCCCAGGGGAAAAAGTTAAGTCACGATGGCCTTCTAGGAAACAAAATTGGGGACCTCTCAGAGAGGACGCTGTTGCATAGGATAAACTGTATGGAAGAGAGAAGACACATTTCCTCTATTCCTTCGATGATTACAACTTACGATGATTTGCACCTCAATTAACTCCTATCCAGATTGCATCAAAACCTGGACATGTATTAGCTCTTTTACTTGCAATGCATATATTCTACATTTTTACCCTGTTTCCCCCAAAATAAGACATCCTCTGATAATAAGCCCAATCAGGCTTTTGAGCACATGGCAATAAGGCCAAGCATTTATTTCAGGGTTCAAAAAAATATACGACAGGGTCTTATTTTTGGGGAAACACGATAATGTATTTGTTATTTTGCTACTGTCCTTTTTTACAATTACTTTCCATTCCTTACAATGGAAAAAGTTTTGTACATTTTGAGCTGAAAAATATTTCATTTTTTCAAAATTCTCATTCTTAATAAGGGTGGGTATACATTGTAGCTGTACAGTAGTGTCTTCTGGGTGCCTTTCAGATATTTTTTGACTACTTTTCCCATCCCAACTTTGTATTCTATGGGTGATAAGAATTTTAGCCTAACATCTAAAGAATTGTAGATTGGGAAAAACCTTTCTAGAAATACCATACTATACCATACCATTTTTGAGAATACCCAAGAGATCTTTTTAAGCCTCCAATTTATTTTCAAATTCTTCATTTAAATATCAATCGTTTGTAAATATATTTCATTTCCAGATTGCAAAGTTAAAAGTATGTTTCTGTGCTTTTTCAAGCTGACTAAATCCTATTATGAATCAGAGTTAGGATGTTTGTTACATTGCTGATCTTTCCAGAAAAATCCTTTGCTGTATAAACCACATAATAGCATGTTTAAATTGTGAATTCAATGGTGGATTAGTATAAAAAGTGTCTCTCTGTGTGTCTGTGTATGTGTGTATTCATCCTTTTCACTCTATTCTGCATTAGATGAAATCCAGAGTGACATAGAAAATGCTAGATACTTGCAAATAATCCCTGGGCTTCAAATAAGGCAGACAATAAACAAGTCTATAATAGAGTTACAGCTTCCGTAGACCCCATCTGTTTCAAAATAGCCCTAATTCTGCTTACTATGCGGAATGTTTTGTTGACTGGGGTTTGGCCTACTTTCTCTAATGTGCTGCCTGTGAACCTCTGGAGACATCTGCTGGAAGAGGTGAAGCAGGACCTGAGATAGAATTCCTAATTTACTGGAACAGTAACTGTTAATTTGTTTAAAAGCTATAAAAATGTCTCCTACATTTAATTGACAGTTTAATTGATCCTGGATAATACCAGTTTTGAAAGGGCTCTTTATATAATGAAAGCAAAGACAATGTAAACAATCAGGAAGTATTGATTTCTTGATCTCAAAGGAAGAAAGACCCAAAGGAAGAAGATTTTACTTTGACCTTCTGTATTTTTAAGGCTTCTGACACCAGAAAAAAAGTGAAATCACTTGCATATTGTGTTCCTTTTTAAGACTGGTTGCATTGAAACCCAGTCTGGGAACATTAAAGCCAGAAGTTATTATACACCTTTAAGAAAGTGCTGTGGTGGTGTTAGCATTTACAATGTTTCAGAGACACCGTTTAGTTTAAATAGTAGCTGTAGGAAGCTACTGTAGGAAGATGACCACAGTAGGATAACTCATCTAACTCTGTTATAGATGACAATTGTTAAAAGGATGGCAGGCTAATTAGTGTGAAGCACTCCCATTTCCAATAGTATTAGGGAGGCTAGAGAAGTATATAATTCAGTCTTTCCCAACCTAGTGTTCTTATGCGTCCAAATCCTAGAATTTAGAAGTGCTTAAAGTACAGTGCAGAATGATAGCAATTCCTATTGTTGTTTTATCCCCAGATTTTGCTATTGAAGGAAGTAGTTTAGCTTCCTTGTTAGGCCTTTTAATTAGTTAGTTGTACCTTCCAAAAACTCAAATGGCCCTTTATAAAGCCACCATATTCCAAGTAAAAACACAATGTTTAATCTTACCTAATGGATTGTTCCTATATAGAAGTATTTTTACAATTATTAACTAAATTATTTAGTAGCTTTATCTTCCCTGAAAATTCTTTATACCTGTTTTGGGAGGCTTGTTATTGAATTGTGCTAACTATGACATATAGCCGTGGGGCACAGTGGTTAGAATGCTGGCTGCCGGCTGCCAGCAGTTCGGCAGTTTGATTCCCACTGGCTCAAGGTTGACTCAGCCTTACATCCTTCCGACGTTGGTAAAATGAGGACCCAGATTATTGGAGGCAATATGCTGATTCTGTAAACTGCTTAGAGACGGCTGTAAAGCACTGTGAAGTGGTATATAAGTCTAAATGCTTTTGCTATATTGCAATTTAGTTAGCAATTTCTGCTGATTTCTTTTTTCAAAATAGTAAACAAAAATGAACTTGTATGACAAAAAAAATCCAGTTTCATTGTTTCCTATGGAAATGCCTTAAAATAATAGAAAAATATTATTCCTGAGAACACAGACCCCAGTTGGGCTTCTGAATGCAGAAGAAAAGTGCTCACTGTGTGTAGATGTTTCACTACATGCATAACTTTTGGATTATATCCAAGGATTTGAAGTTTCAAATCAGTGTAGATCATATTATAAAAGGAATATTACCTTAGAATTCTAAAAGAGTTAGATGCCCATATTTCATTTCAAATGATAAAACCCAGGTACTTCTCAGTTTAATATATTAACTATAGAAATAAATATGGGCTTGATACAAAGTTAGAAGAATGTATATTAAATTTGACATTTATTTTTTGTTTGGTTGGTTGGTTTTACAGGCAGCAATACAAGGCATTACACCAATGAAAGGAGACCATATGGCTTCTGGCTTTCACCAGAAGAACTATCCGCTGAGGAACTCAGAAGGCAGAGACTTAATAGATTTGAGAGGTGGCAGTAGTCTTAAAGTACTATATATAAAGGGCTCTTCATAGCTGTCAAAAGATGGTGAATATTGTTCATTTACTGTAAGCTATTTCTGTTTCATGAAATATATATCATGGAGGCTATCTGAAGCTATCTGTGAGTGAAAAAGTTGAGCCTGCTTGGCACATAGACTACCAAATATAAAACTGAAATGCAAAAATGCAAACTAAACATCTTTAAAAATTCACCATACCATCTAAAATTCTATAGCTACCTTATACATATTAGTTCTTTTCAATGAATAGTTTTTGGTATCTTAAGTTGAATAAAAGTTTACAGAATAAAAATTAGAATTGAACATAGATTTGGTCAGGTCATTGAAATGCATGGCCCATGAATACAGCACTTTTATGTTCTCCAAAAATTACTGAAATTGAAGAATGATTTACTACAGAAATGCTTTTTTACAAGTTGCACATTTAGAATATGACAACATCCTACAATTTTTTGTATGAATGAGAAAGTAACTGCGTAACATGAATATGTTGTAGCTATAAATTGTAGCTAATTATTTTGTATACAAGATGTATTTGTATTTTTTTATTATGTTAAAGAAACCAAAGTTTGAAAACTTTGAATTCTTCCTTCAGTCTCATTTGAAGTACATTTTGGAATTCACGTTGATTAATTTGGGTGCAGCCCATTAAGCCTTATTAATTTTATTTTATAAGAAACAGCAACAGTATAGCTTACTACATTTTTAATTATTATGAATTTGTAAATATAAATTATTTTGATGTCCATCTCATATCTTACTCCCTTTCCCTGGAATATTCATCATGGCCTTCCCAAAATTGAGAAACTAATATTTTGTGGAAAGGGAGGGGAAGAAGGAACAAAGTTCTGCCATAGCCATAAAATATTCCATGTAATATTTATCATCAGACATTATGATTTGTGATTTAACGTGTTCTGATAAAAGAAACCTCTTCAACTTGACATTTCAGTTTATATCAAGTATTTTTTCTTAAACCATTGTAATATTTTCTACTTGAGATCACTCAGTGCCTTCCCCAATAAAGTGTATATTAAAAATCATATTTTAAGTTTCTTGAATTTTTTTGAATTTTTATAATATTTTCAATGTTCATACTATTGTTGTCTCCATACTTTGTTAATGAACCATCAATGAGCTGCAACTGAGCTCTATTATTGCAACTTGGTTATTTACATCTTATTTACTGTCTAAACCAAGACAGATGATCTCATGCTGATTTTGAGCTTCAGAACAGGAACCAGAATTGATCATGGCTCTTCCACAATATGCTTCAAAGATATGCACGGAGGCCATACTTTTGGGCAGTGAGCTTTGGACTTATTAGGGCAGGCTCATCGAGGACCATCCTACAGAAGGAATGAGATTTGAAAGTACACAAAATTATCTGCTACAACGTCCTACCTGTCAATGACTTCTTCAGCTTCAACCACGATAATACACGAGCACACAATAGATACAAACTTAAGGTAAACCGCTCCAAACTCGATTGCAGAAAATACAACTTCAGCAACAGTGGTCAATGCCTGGAATGTACTACCTGACACTGTGCTTACTTCCCCAAACCCCCATAACTTTAACTTTAGACTGTCTACTGTTGACCTCACTCCATTCCTAAGAGGTCTGTAAGGGGTGTGCATAAGCGCACCAACGTGTCTATCATCCCTGTCCTACTGTCCCCATTTATTTGTATCCTTATTCTGTATTCATAATCATATCTGTAATCTCATGCATGTTTGACAAATAAATAAAAATAAATAAATAAAAAATAAAACAATGCTTCCCAGTGTCCATTGTGTTTCTAGATTTTAACATTAGACAAAAATTGTTTTAAAATAAATGTTCGAAATTCAAATTGTATTATTTTAAAACGGGGGTCCTCAAACTTGGCAGCTTTAAGACTTGTGGACTTCAACTCCCAGAAGAATTCTGTCAGTTGAAGTCCACAAGTCTTAAAGCTGCCAAGTTTGAAGATCTCTGTTTTAAAAGCAATCTTTATGTACACTGAGAGCATATGCACCAAAGACAAATTCCTTGTGTGTCCAATCACACTTGGCAAATAAAGAATTCTATTCAATACAATTTTTTAAAAACTCTTTAATCCTAATTAAAAAAGGAATTTTAATTAACTTTATAAAATAGGAAGTATATTTTGAAGTTAAACTGTAAAATTGCCATGAAATACTTTGTATTTAAAGTAAAATATAGTACTTCAGTAACTGCCTATGTACTGATTGTTGAAGTTACCATGGGAACAGCACATTTCTCATGATATTAGTGTATAAGGCTAGAATAAATTGTCAAAAATGCACAAACATCCAGGGTGACTCCATTTTGCATGAAAACTCTGCAGGATTTATTTTTTGTTTACATTTGTTGTGAGATACAAGTTTCTTTCATGTCCTTGTATTGCTACTGTTTTGCAAAATAAGGTTCAGGAATTTATTCCTCCCTACCCTCTGACCTCACCAAAGTGACTGTTAGGAAAAAATTCATTCTCAGGATAAAAAGAAAACTCTTGATATTGGAATATTCTATTTATGGATTGAATTATGTCATAAAATGTCATGAAAGTTCTATGACTTGAATAGCTTACTGTTAATCAGTGATGTCTTAATGCATTTAATAAAGTGGATACAGTATATTATCAATTGAGATTAATATGATTAAGTCCATTCTGTATTACATGTATACTTACTTTAAACATACTATCAGAAGTCAGAAATTTTTCAATTTAGCTAAAAAGCAAAGCATTGAGTATTTAAATATTTCTGCTTTCTGAATGAAAGGAGGGTAAATTTTATGTCTTTTTGTGGCATTTAGCCTTCTGAATCATGCTTCATATATAATAATCCCAGATCTTCACACTTTCCGATTGCCTTGAAGACCTTTCTGTTTCAACAAGCAGGGCTAGCATAAACATCTAAATTCTATGCCAAGGTCTTCGCAGATACACCAAATTGACTCAATTTATTATTTACTGTTTATAAGGGGAAAAAAATTATATGCATATGAAATCCTAATCTGTTCACCGCCCTGAGTCCTTCGGGAGAAGGGCGGTATAGAAATTCAATAAATAAATAAATAAATATATGCAGAAAAGAAACAAGAAGTTTCTAAATTAGTTACAGGAAACATTGGAAGCTGGTGTTTCCACTGAATAGATGTCATAAATTATGAACTGGAAAGATGTCCTATAGTCCTTATACTGAGAGAGTCTTGAACTGACTGCTAGTTTTGCTTAAGATACTTAAAACTAAAATATTTTGCGTAATTAATTCAAAAACAACTATTGAAAATTATACCTGAATTAATCATATGATACTTTGTCATCAAAATGTAAGCTTTTAACGTATGCTTTAGAGCTACTCACAAAGCAACGTCTACCTCCATTTTTTAAAATAATGAAATTTAAAAGGTGACAACAACAAATTATTGTGTCTCAACAAACTCATTGCCACATTTTGCTCAGAAAAACTTTGATTTGGTTTGGTCCAAGCCAGACAGTAATAATTTCTAAGATAATGAATACTGACTATATATAATCCTTGATTTACAACCATCTGAGCCCAAAACTTCCATTGCTAAGCGAGACATTAAGTTGCACCCCATTTCACAATCTTTTTTTGCCACAGTTGTTAAGTGAATCATGCAGTTGTTAAGCAAATCTAAATCCTCCCATTTTCTTGTTGGAAGTCAGCTGGGAAGCTTAAAAATGGTGATCAGATGACTATAAATAGATGCCAGTTATCAAGTGCCCAAATTTTGATCACATGACCATTGATTATGGTCATAAGTGTGAAAAGCAGTCAAATCTTTTTTTTTCAGTGCTGTTGTAACTTTGAATGGTTACTAAACAAATGGTGATACGTAACGAATTACCTGTATTGCAGTATTACATTTCCAGTGTTCCTTAAAACTGCAAAATTTGATAAATGTGTCCTTAAGGAGACAATTTATCACTGGTATATATGCAGATTCAAAATAGACTAGATACATAGATGTATCTCTCAGATACTGAAAAAACAAAATACATACTTTTTGTCTCTGCTTGCTCACTGCTGTAGAAAAAAAATTATTTTAGGTGAAGTGGAAATTCTAGTACAAGGTTTTCTGTCTTTCTGTGTGGAAAAACGAACCTAACTAAAGTAGGAAAGAAAATGGTTATAAGTCAATTAATAGTATCACTTGGATTCCCCAACCTAAATAAAATTATGAATGAGTAAAAGCAAAAAACCCTACAAAGTTGGTATTCATCTCTCATCTACTGCAGTTGAGTTATTCAGTTCTTTACTTCCCGGTGCCATTTAAATATGCCATTTTACAATTCATAATTCCTAAGTCAGTTTGTAAATGTAATACAGACACAGAGCACCAAGATGAAAAAAAAATAGGTTTATTTCTGTTCAAGAAGTGTTCAATATCCACTAGGCATATTTCATGCAAACCTGACACCTGCCAATATTTTGGCGTTGTTCTTGTTGATCTTTGATAGTCCCTGAGACAGGGGATGATACAAACTGTGTCTCATTGTTCACTGTAGCCAGCCAGAAACTGTATTCATTAATAAAAAAGTGACATGTTCCTTGTTGACCCTGACATTCAATAAAGGGTGCTGATCGGAAGTCCTCCAGGCAGCTTCCAGGTGATGTGAGAGATTGCCCGCCTCCTTGGTCACCAGATCCTGTATGCTGAAAAAAGAAAAAAGAAAGATATCAGCTATGCCCATAATGGTGAACCTATGTCATGCGTGCCACAGGCGGCACATGGAGCCATATTGGTGGGCACACGAGCTCAGCTCTAGCGCACATGTGCGCACTGGCCAGCTGATTTTCGGGCCTTCTGGGTCCACCAGAAGTCAGGAAACATGCTTTTTCTGACCTCTTGGAGGGTAGGGAAGGCCCGTTTTTCACTCTCCCCAGGCTCCAGAGCCTTATTAGGAGCCTGGGGAGAGCAAAAACGGCCTTCCCCACCCCCTAGAGGCCCTCCGGAGGCTGGAAATGGCTCGTTTCCTGACTTCCG